TCCTTCGCCCAGGCTTCTACTCTCAGCCTCCTTTCCCAGTGCATGTTGCACTTTCCTACCCTTTCCACCACTCAACAGTTCCACCGAGCTGCCATAGATTGCATTTGCAGTTACGCTGGTCGATGCGACAATGTCGCCGTCGTTCAGAATCGCGACTGTTACCGCGAATTCAACATCAACCCGCCCTTGCTTCGGCGTGATCAGAGCGACCTTGACCCCGAGTTTCTCGTCACTTAGGATGGAGGCTGTCGTGATGCCCACGAGGTTCAGAAGTCGGAGTTCTTCGGAAATTTTGCATGCAAGATCCCAGCCCTGAGAAACAGTTGACAGCATTGTTCTGGACGATACGGACCGTTTGGGCATCATTGCAAAGGCGTGCAACTGGCTTCTGACCAACTGCAAGAAGAAGCGTTTCTCGGTCGGTGGCTCGGACGGTTTGACATCAGAGTCTTCTTCGTCTGTGGGAGCATAGGTCAAGCTAAGAGGCGCCGTTGGACCGCTAGTTGATGCCGACTTCCTCCCTGATCTGCGCCGCGGTGCATCTGAAGCCTTGGATTGGAAAGCTTGAGGGTAGAAGAAGAGTCGTAGATCATCCTTGTACATCATGGTGAGCGCAGGCCCAAAGTCGGTTGGTTCATCCATCTCTTCTTCCACAGCAATCAACCGCCAGCCGGTTTGTTTCTCGATGGCATTTACCCTCGACCTTAGGTCCAGGACATCGGCGACAGGCCAACCCTTGCTTTCTTCCCTGACTCGGTCTGCCTCTGCAATCTGATCATTCATCTCGGTCTTGAGTTCGGCGGCAGCTAGGAGCGCCTCTTCTTTCTCTCGCATCTGTTCGTGCAAGGAGTCGAGCAAAGCAGATCTTTGAAGACAGTATTTGTCGGCATTCTGCAATTCACGCCGGCAATTGGTTAATGACTCATGATGGACACTGTCCAGTTCTTCCAGACTCTGCTGTAGCGATGCCTTTCGGTTCTCGAGATCAGTTCGTTCTTGATTAAGCCGAGGAAGCACCGAGTCTAGTATCTGTTGCTGTTGTTGTAAGAGCTGAAGGTCAGCTTGTATCCCATGGCCGATACCCTCTAGCCCATTCTTGAGGCCTTCTACCAGCTGTGCTCTCCACTGATACCAGCCCTCCTTGCTTTGCAGACGAGCGTTGGCCTTGCCGTTGCGAAATTGGTTGTCCATCACTACCTTCACGTCAGGGCGAGCATCGACGTATTCCCGGAAAAGTGGTGGCTGGTCGGCCAGGGTTTCTGCTTCGATAGAGCGGATTATCTTGCGACCGGCCGAGATATACGACTTGAGCTCTCGCGTGGCATGCTGATACAGTTCAAGGAGTGGCAATGTGGTGGCAGCCGCAACAAAGTTATCCGCTGTGTTGCTGGCGTCCACATCTGCCTGGGACCCAGAGGCCGGCATCGACTGTGCCATTGTGTGTCTCCGCTTCGTGGTTGACAGTTCGATGAAATGAATATTGGTCATGTTCAAGAACTGCTGGAGAGAGATCTTGTCCTCTTCACTCCGGGCCGATCCTTCTTCCATCTGAACGGTGGAAATGTCAATGGCTCCAACCACGTTATCAAGTTTGTCCTCGAACGATTCTGGTCTTGCTTCATCGTTGACCTTGACATCTTTGAAGCGTCGAGTGGTGCCTGGGCTCGGTGCTATCGTGTGTTTAGTAGGCGACGCTGGCCCGAGACTTGGAGTTGCGTTAGCACTGTCAGCCATCTCCTGGAGAGACTTCTGAAGTCTCGTGCTAAATCTGCCAGTGGTTTCGTCCTTGGTAGGTGGCTTCGGTAAATGAACCTTTTTCACTGGGCTCCCTTCTCTAGAAACCGCTCTCAAACGCTTCGGAGTTGAATCGCCATCGTCGTCGTCGTCCATATCGAGTTCTGCGGGCCGCTTTCCTAGAAGACCTTTGGCACCTCCAACTGCAAGGCTCTTTCTGCCTTTGAGTTTGCCAGATTTTGGTTTCTGCGGCGTCATCGACTCAATCATGTCTTTCAGCTGTAAAGTGACATTCTCATCCTGAGGCTCGTCGGCTTCTTGTTCCATGACAAATCTGCCGCTCTCGCGACGCTGCTCTTCTGCTCTTTCGGCCTCTACCTCTCGCGCAACTTCTTGTGGGTCTTCACAGCGCAACGTTGTAGGCTCAATGCTAGCAAGCTTGAACTGAGGCGCTGCGTCTCCAATTGAGGATCGACGGTCCAGTAGTTCGGTCACTCGCGGAGAGCCGATCCCATCTTTGTCAATACCAATCCCACTTGATCGTCGACGCCCTAGGTGAGATTTGGGGGCTTTCAGGACGACACTGGGAGTCTGATTGCCGGGAGAAAAAAGCGCGTTTCGCTTTGCAGAGGCTGGGGATGCCCTGGCTTTGATTTCGGCTTTGAACAGCTTCTTTGGCGAGGCACTTCGGTGCGAGACATTTGCAGACAATGGAGTTTTATTTGGAGACTCAGCTCGCGTAGGCAGTGGAGTGATCTGCTTTGATGGAGTGCCCTGCTGTTTCCTAGTCTGTGACTTGACCGGTGTGCTATGTTGCTGTGTAGTTTGTGGAGTAGCAGCAGTTTTCGTGGCGCTTCGCTGGGACCGGCCTGACAGTCGTGGTTTCAAAGCAATGCTCGGACTGCCAGTCTCTGAGGCTATAGAGGTTCGATGTTGGTGCGACTTTGGTGGGGACTTTGGTGTGATTTGGTCAAGTGGTACGTGTTGTGGTGAAGAAAGCATGGTGTCTTCAGGAGACTGTCTTGTCGTCTGAAAGCCGTGTTTGACAAGGATGCCACCTACCGCTCTGGTCATGTCCATGGTCACGGTCTGCTCTTCCACATCCGTCTGGGGCTCGGTCTGCTCCTCAATAGGGGGCAGGATTCTCCCGGCGGCAGTGGTCATGTCCATGGTCTCATTTTCATCTGACTGAGTCGAGCCGATCGAGTATCGACTAGATGCTCCACTCAGGACACCTCCAGCCACCTGTGTGAATTCCATGCTGATATCTTCATCGGACACACGGCTGTTCACTGTCTCTTCAATCCCAGCAGAGATGATTCCTCCTCGGATAGCTGTAAAGTCCATAGTCTCATCAAAGACGGATTCATTCCCAGATGAGCGGCGATGGCGCATGCTGCTTCTGCGGCGTGAGAGAGGTGATTTTGAGCCTTTCTTGCTGGGAGACCGACTCGTCACTATACCACCAACGGCACTTGTGACGTCCATACTCATCTCGCCACTTTGATCCCCACCTTCATCATCCATCTCAGCGTCGTTGTCGTGAGTTATTGGTGGCGGACGAATGTATGTGATCTGGTTTTCCTGCTCGTCCATCTCGTTGCTTTGGATTCCATGAGCCCGACCTTGTGCCCAATTCTGAAAGGCGTTTGTTACAGTACCCGTCACGATCTCCATGAGAGAGTCCTCGCCATGCTCGTCATACTCTATACCGCGGGTTCCAGCCTGTTCGGCAGCTTGCCGCAGGCGTTCTTCCAGACTGGAAGGGGTGCTTGATCCAGAATCCTCAGAGGCTACCGTATGTGAAGTAGCGTCTTCCAGACTCATCGCTGTATCGCCATCGGTGTCTGACTCATCTGAAGACTCGATACCTTCCTCGTAGTTAACAGGACTGCTATTAGTGGTGACATCTCCCGAGGGACTTGAAGAATACGTCAGCTCTTCGGCATCGAGCGTGGGTTCTGCGAGACCTGAGCTTCTGCGACTGCGTTTACGTTGGCGGCCGCCCCTCTGCTTCGCAGGGGACTCCTTGACAAGTAGCTCTTCAATCTGCCCGGCAGGAGCCGAAGGCGCATCTGCTGGTTCAGGCGATGGTATCGATTTGACAGGTGATTGTGCTGTCATCGAGGATTGGCGTCTTGTGGAGTTGGAGGCGGAACTTGTGGTTGAGTCCTCAGCAAGTTCCATGACGCTCCACGTATGCAAGGTCGCCTCGGGCGCGAACGATACTCGACGATTTGCCAGCGATTTCCTCCTTGCCGCTCTGCGTTCCAATATAGCCTCCTTCTCTGCCTTGCGCTTCCGCTCCTCTTCCTGCTCGCGCTCTCGAGCTTCCGCACTTCCACCTGCTCCCTCGGCTTTCCTGGGAGATCGTCGCGCCATAGGACTAAAGGGGTCAGCGACATTCTCAGTGCCTGACATTGCGACCGCGCCTGCATTCTGCCCACTCGGACCTGGAGTGGAGAAGTCGATGAGCAGCTCTTCGGCGTTGTTCTTCGTCTGTGCCTTGTCTTTTCCCGTACTCCGCTTGCGCAGTTCGTCAAACGACGGTATAGCTTTAGGAGGTGTCAGAGGTATGGAAGGTTTGAGTATGGATTTGATTTGAAACGGCGTCGTAGGCTGCCAGAAAGTCAACAAATGTGCTTTATCACCACACCGTAGTTGCGTGATTACCTTTGTTGCGTTTCCCGTCGACTCCTTCAGGGCTTCAAGTCCGCCTGGACCGAGACTCTTGCCACGCGACTTCTTTTTGGCCGCCCTAGCCTCTGTGTGTCGAGCTTGAAGGGCAGCAATATCCGTTGTCGCATTGTCCCTCGACGAGTGCGTCTTCGCAGACGGCACGTGCGCAATTGATTGTCGTGCTTTGGGTCTGCTAGACCTCTGATCTGTAGTAGAATCGGCCATTGGCAGCGCCTTATCGCCTCACCGAGGCATTCAATCTGTAGGGTTGTTCTAAGGATACTCTTTGCATTGCTCGCAATGGATGTTTGGTACCAAAAGTCGAGGCCCAATCCGCGTCCCCACCAACAGCCTCACCGTGACGAGCTAAACCCAACCAAGGGTTTATGTAAACACGAGTGGGTGGCGAAAGCACGTGATTTGGGGTTCGCCGGTTGAGGACTAGCCTCTTCTGATGTCTTGGCAGAATTTTGAATGCGCACCATCAATTGTCCACAGGCAAAAGGTTGCTAGCGTTGTGCCCGATTGTAAAATTCCAACCACTTGCGCCCACTTCAACTTCCTTCCTGTCAACAACATCCGCAACCATGGCGACCGAGTTGACAGTCCAGGCCGAGCGCGCCTACCAGAAGCAGCCTCACATCTTCCTCAACCACAAATCCAAGGCGGCGAAGAGCAGGAGAGTCGGCAAGGGCGGGCGAAGATGGTACAAGGACGTCGGGTTGGGCTTCAGGACGCCAAAGACTGCGATTGAGGGATCGTACATTGGTCAGTGGTTTCTGGTTCTCAATTTTTCTTCCACTGGGGAATTTTGAAGGGATCTTTTCCCCCAGTTACAGCGTCAAACGGGGGAAACTACTTGTTGGGTAAATTTCATCATTCTGACAATCTCTGGCAAAAACAGACAAGAAATGCCCCTTCACCGGCATGGTCTCGATTCGAGGCCGTATCCTCACCGGCACCGTTGTTTCCACCAAGATGCACCGAACCTTGATCCTCCGCCGAGAATACCTCCACTTTGTCCCCAAATACGCTCGATATGAGAAGAGGCACAAGAACTTGGCCGCACACGTTTCCCCGGCTTTCCGTGTCGAAGAAGGTGATCAGGTCACTGTGGGCCAGTGCAGACCTCTGAGCAAGACTGTAAGAACCCGCCTTCTGCTGTTCTTGGAGAGCCCCGAATTTCTTTCAGAGACTTTTTGAAGCGAACATGAGCACCAGACTAACTGTACGGGAATATCTCCAGGTCCGATTCAACGTTCTCCGTGTGTTGCCCCGAACAGGAAAGGCGGTCAAGGCGTTCCAGAAATTCTAAGCAGGAATAAAATGACGGCTGCGGTTGTGGTAGTGGGTGGTGGTGCAAAGTCAATCCCCCAAAGGAGAGTGAGTCCGAATGTGAGGGCGTGCTTTTTCCGCACAATCGAGCAAGGACACATGGGGTACGACAAGGCCTGTGGATGGAGATTGTGGCACGAGGTCATTTTCGGCGTCTGGAAGCACAGATCAGATCAGATCAGATCAGAATCAAATGGTCTGTTGCTGGCGCGGGGCCAGGCATGAAAAGCGCCGGTCTTCGAAAATTCAATGAACAACGTCTAACCCAAAAATACTCAAATCGCATACCAGTTTCGATCTGATTGTGTATTGTCATGTCTACGGACGTTCTAACGGGTTTCTATATCCAAAACTCTCTTTGGCGTTTTGTCTGTGATGAACTCCGCCTTCGAGGTCCCCCAGCCCATGCTTTTGTCTCTCTCAAGTCTCGAGATAGGCGAAGCCAACCTCGGCCTTGAGCGGCGGATAGCCCGAACTGTCCACCACGGGCAGGATGCTGATCTTCCTGGCCGTCTCCTTGGTGTCTGCCTCGATCCACCGCTTGACCTCACCCTCGTCGCTCCAGTCGCTGATCAGCTCGTCCCCCTTGCCGATCTGATGTAGTTGCGTGCCCGTAGACTGGGTGTTTAGAGGCAAGGGCGCGAAGTTCTCAATGGCGCCCGTGATCTTCCCGCTCAGGAGCTCTCTGGCAAGGTACGGTTCTTGGGCGAATGGTCGGCCGAGACCGACCCCGTCGCAGGCGCCGCACTCGACGGCCCTAACCATGCCCGCCGCGGTCCTCAGGCCGCCCGTGATGTACACCTTGGTCTCCTTGAGGAGCGGGCGGATCATCTCGGCGAACTCGATAAAGTAGGCCTCGCGCGCCTTGGTGCTCTCCTTCTTGTGCTCAAAGGCGCGGCTCTCGAACGTGCCGCCGCTCAGGTCGACAAAGTCCACGCGCGCCTTTTCCAGCTTCAGGCACAGGTCCCGCGCGTTCTCGGGCGTGGTGCCTTTGTCCTGGAACTCGACCGAGTTGAGCTTCACGCAGATGATGAACGACGGGTCCGGCACGCGGCGTTGGATCTCCTCGATGATCTCGAAGACGATGCGAGACCGGTTGTTCAGGTCGCCGCCATATTCGTCAGTGCGGCGGTTCGTGGTGGGACTCAGGAACTGGGCTAGCAGGTAGCCGTGGGCGCAGTGCACTGTTCAAAGAGGGGAGGAGTCTCAGCTTTTGTATGATCTCAGTCTTTCCAAGTGCCTACCTTGGACACCGTCAAACCCGGCTTTCCAGCAGAGATACGCAGTCTCGCCCCAACTTTTCACCATTTCTTTGATCTCCGGGATGGTCAAGGGTCGCGGCTTGTTGAACTCGTTCCCCGCCCACTTGATGCTCAGCTGGATATCGCTCGCGCTGACGGGGTTTGGGTTGAGGTACTTGCCGCCCTGCCTGCCCGGATGGGAGAGTTGGGCGATGAAGAGCGAGCCGTGAGCCTTTGCGGCGTCGGCGACTTCCTTGAACTTTGCGAGGCGGCCATCGTGGTCGTCGACGAGGATGGGGTTGCCGTACGCCTCGACCGCGTCGTAGCGGACCATGATGTTCCCACTGACAATGATGCCGATCTCGGCCTCACCCCATCGTCGGTACAGGTTGAGATACTCGGGACTGGGCACGCCTCGAGCGGACTGTGTTAGGGGTCAATAGACGTAACCCAAAAGGAAGGGTAGCATACAATATCCTCGCCTTCTTTGTTCCAATGGCACAGTCTCTCGGTCATGGGTGCCTTGAGGAATCTGTTCTTCGCGGTTCGACCGGAGAAGGCAAACGTGACGGGCTGGTTGAGTATGGAGACGTCTGTTGGGTCGCATTGAATCCTTATGCGCCCTCGATTCGGGCTGCTGGTGTTCTTTTCATGCTTGACGTTACCCGTGATGGGTGCGCCGTTGAGGGTAGACGTGTCGTATTCCATCTTTCCTGCAGCCTGTTCTTTTCCCCAGGGCTCTCCTTCGTGGTCTCCTACCTTCTTTCCTTTTGAGTCTATCCAAAGAAATTTCTCGGTATCTCAAAGTCCAGAACTCTGGCACCGAGGATTCAGACGTTTTTGCTTTATCTTGTCTCTTTGATCCACAAACGATATATGAAGTATTATCCGACAAACTCCCTCTAACCGAGAAAACACTTGATGCAGTGACTTGGGACAGGACCTCCACGGACTTTGAGAGATTTCAAAAAACTCCGCAAAGTACCACCGAGGGGCTAGCTTTTCGAGACAAGGGATTACTTGTCCCGCGGCTGTTCGATCACCCAGGCCACCAGGCCTTTTGTGTGTCCTTCCTCTCCGAGGCTCATGCCGAAGTAAGAATCTGCAATGGGCTTGAACGGGTACACACATGGTGGAGTGTGTGGTGTGGTGTGGTGGGCGCCTGTGGATGAGAGGGTTGAATTGGAGAATTGACGAAGAGGAGGAGAAAGACCCGATACGAATGCGGGGAAGATTGGAAAAATAGCGGGTCTCGGGTCACAAATATCGAAGGGATATATACAATATACACCAAAAAATTGATCTGATTTGTCACACAGATAAAATAGTTCCTTAGTGAGCCCACCCACTGCCATTATTTCTACACATCTTACTAACCCTCCAACCAGGTGTAGTGGTTTATCACATCTCCTTTACAGCCATCTCATCGTGTCATGTCTCTAACAGGACAATGGTGAGATCGTTGGCGCGGAGAAGGTCATGGGTTCGATCCCCATAGGAACTAAATTTTTGGGTTTTCTCGAGTGGCTTCATTTTTTTTTTTTTTTTTTGGCTCGGTTCTACTGCTGGAGTACATTACGGTGAGACCGGGAGAGTGGTTGGCTGGTTGGGCTTGTGGAAGAAAGTCTTTTTGGCACCGATCTCTCACGGGTTTCTTACCATTACTACTCGGATGTGTGTGGCTGTCCAAACTATGCCGTGCTGTGCTGGACGAGGGGGAAAGGCCACCCATCACCTGAAGCTTAGTTTGGTTGGGATGGTTCTCGTCAGAGTTTTTGCAGGTGTTGAAGAATCAGGTCGTCGAGTAGATGTAGGGAGGAGGCAATTGAGAGGTCTGAAGCGGACATGAGTGGACATGTGAGGTAAGTAGATGAGGTGTGCAAGCCCCTGAGCACCGATGCCAATCAGGCCATCCAGCTACTATCCACTACAAGTTAGAACTTGATGTGTTGAAGTATCATCTTCTCTCGCTTCCAGACGGAACCCTCTCTGTGCCTTATCGAGCGACCACCCTCAGAAGCTCCATGCCGACACCCACCACCAAAATGCTCCATCCTCTCTCGCTCTCCCCCTTCCCACCGTCCTCTACATCATTTTCCATGGTCCTAAGGTCGTCCTCGATAATGTCCAAATCACTGACGTCCGCAACTGCCGTCCATCCAGCTCCGACAAGTTCCACCTGGACGGCTTCGAAAAGCTCATCTCGCCCGACGTGGGGAATGACAGGGTCACCGTCCCTACCAAAGTCGACATGGACATCCCAGACGTTGACGCGCTGGTCGTTCCCCACGGTGACCACAACAATCGAATATCCCGTCCGTGTGCGTCTGAGGTTCGTGGCTTTCAACGCCGTGAGGGCTGCGGCGTGGGCGGCAGGAATGAGTAGCGTGCGGAAGTGGTAGGAGGGTGGTTGTCTTTCGGTGTTGGTCTCTAATGCGGGCGCGATCGTAGATGAAGGCAAAGCGGCAAGCAGTGTCAGGCCTAGTGCGTTGTCATCGCCGCCAGTCGCGACCAGGTAGGTCGTGGGATTGAGGCGTACCATGTCCATGGCAAGGACGCTGCTTTGGTGCACCTTGTGGACTTCCATCGGCGATTCAAGCGCTGTATCGGGCGAAACAGTCGACCGATTAGACGGAGAGCGGGTATTCAGAAGGCTGAGGTTTAAAATCCCGTTGGTGCCCGCCGACAATGCTCCCACTCGAAGCTCGTCAGATCCAAAGGTCGAAGCTGGGATGAAGCTCGGCGAAAGGAAGAAAGCCTGCATCACACAGAAGGACCCGTAGCTGACTTCTCGCAGCATCTCAAACATCTCTTTACTCCTGCTGGATCCAGGTGTGTAGCGTACCACCTTTGCCTTTCCGTTCGAGTACGCCATCACGATCGTGTATTCCTCGCTTGCGTTCTCGTCTTCGGAGTTGCTACGCTGCAAATCAAAGCTCATGATCCGCGCATCCGAGTCTTCTTCCTGAGTCGGCATCATGTCCCAAAGTACCACTCCGGTTTCAATGCCAGGTACGTCAAAGGTGAGTTTCCACACATAGAATTCTTCGCATCCAGCACTGCTAAAGAGGTATCCGCCCGACGGCGAGAATTGGAGATGTTGAATGCCGGTATTGTGTCGTTTCAGAGTTGACACGGCCCGAAACGCAAAGGTGTCTGGTACGGGTTCTCCGGCTGGTCGAGGTCGGTATGTACCTTTCGCGGAACGAGGTATAGCAAAGAGCTGAATGTTGGTGTCTTCAGCTCCTGTGGCTATGAGAACCTGAGCGCGGTGTTCCTTTTGAAGGCGATCGTACGACACAGGACTGCGAGCCACGGCCTTGATCTCACGCCCTTGACCTCCCTTTTGGATCAATTCGTGGTTGGATCCCCGGGATGAGTGCCAGTTCAATGTGCGGGCTTTAGTCCAGACAAATGATTTCCCACCTCCATCACGAAACTGGGAACAGTCTCGAAACGCCCAGCTGCGATGGGGCCCGCCGCACTCGACAGATAACACTTCAGATTGCTGTGTTTCATTCCAAACAACAAATGACGTCGAGCGGAAGCCATAGAGAATCAAATTCCGCTCTGTCACAGGTGATGATTCTTTGCCCGACGTAAAGAAAGCCCCCTCAATGTTGGGCCCGAATGGAAGTGCAGATCTGTGAACAGCCGTCACAGTGGCTTCTTGCGTGTCTGTGGACTGTGGCCAATTGACTCGATGGATTGCGTAGATCCCGTCACGTCCTGTCGTCAGAACGTGGATTGCCTCCTCGGAAGCTTGCGCATCTTCTTGCAGAATGGTAATGGAAGCGACACTATCCGTGCCATGGGCATGGCGAAGGCACGATGGCTCCCCAGATGTTTTTGATTCAGATGTTACCTGGCGATAGATTGCAAGAGCTCCAGCACGGGAACCAAGAACCAACACCTGGCTAGAGCTGTCGTAACAACAGGAGGTGATGGTGAAAGTTTCCGGCGTTTCCAAAGATGTTTGGCTCACCTGAATTGAACCGTCTGTCACGCTCACCCAGAGGATGACTGACTTCCGATTCGCCAACGAGGCAGCAACACAAATTGTAGACGATGGCAATTCTGCGGAATGTGGAGAGGCAGGCCGCATCCAAGAGATTGCACATTCGAGGTCACATTCGACAGGGACTAGAGAGTCGTTGTTGGTGAGCAATGCCGACAGTCCACCTCTCTGATACGCAACGAGAACGAGCTGTAGGCTTTCAACCGAGCAGAGCACAAGGCCGCCACTTCCAGGATTCGGTGTCAAGCTGGTCCAATTCAACTTGTCATGGCTAGCAGTCAATCGGAACAAGTCGCCTCGATCCGTCGCAGCCAAGCATGCACCCGAGTCCAAGAACAAGTAATGCTTCAGGGACATCGAGGACACAGTAATGTCCTTAAAAGGTGTCGAGAGGGTGGCAGACGAAGCCATGCTCCCGCGCGAGACATCAAATCTTCTGGAGATAATCTGCCCGTCAGCACCGCCAGTCTGGACGAGCAAACCTTGACCATCATTAACGTAGGTCATCGACCATGCATTCTTCCCCGAATGGTGTCGATCACTTGACTCTGCCCTCAAACGCGCCGTTAGGGGTATCTCTGGTGGAGTCCCTGCATGCAGCTCGACGGTCCACAATTGACAGGCACCGTCTTCACCTCGGGATAGAAGACAGACGCCGTTTCTGTTCGACTCGTTTCGCACAAATTCAACATCCCAGATGCGCGAGAGATGACCCCATTCGGATGCAAGATGGGTGTCGCCTCCTTGACCGACAAGTCCGAAGCCTGTCTCGGCTGATTCTAGACTATGATTGGAGTCGTGGGGTGTCAAATCACAGTCACTAATGTCCCAAATTCTTACCGTCCGGTCATCAGAACAGCTCGCCAACAAGCGGCAGTGAGTCGCGCCCAGGTCGAAGCCGTCAGAAATAGACACACCGAAAACGGAACCTCTGTGACCATTGAAAATGTGTCTTAGAGATGTGGACCACTGGCCCAGGCTTTCTTCCCTCGAGCAAGTCCAGACTAGAATCTCCCCAAAGACGGTCCCAGAAGCCACAATGATTTGGCCAGGGTTGGTGACAGCAAGGGAGCCGGAGTACAGGAATGACTTTGGGCCATTCACTGTGGCATATTTCCCACATTTCAGAGTGCTCTCTGCATGTGGGCGAAAGGACAGCTCTAGAAGCTGATTGTGTGCAGTGAGCAGGAAAATGCTGGATTGGTGGAAAGCAGCATCTAGAATCCAATCTCCGCAGTTTAATGGTCTCGACAAAGTGAGCTCAGGTACCAGGGCTGACGGAGCAGCTCCCGATTTCCCCAACGCCAACACAGCGGTGCAGCAGAATGCCCCTCCCCAGAGCACGATCTGATGGCTCTGACTCGAGACTTGCCCTGCATCGCGCGACTCGATCTGAATCCCACAGATGGGTTGGATCTCGAATATCCGTGTAGATGAAATAATGACTCCACTCTCATTGTAGATGTGAAGAAAGGGACCCTGCCCTGCAAAGAGCAACAACTCTCCATCAACCAGGACCGACCTCAGAGCAGTGACTGGCAGACATGCAGCTTGTGGCTATGATGGTCAGCGAGAGGGATTGCGGGAGGCCATCACACTGACCTCTAGAGTACATGTTGTCATTGAAGTGCAAGGGACCAACCGATTCGCGGCGTTAGTGCTGTAGCCTTGTGATATAGAGCGAAGAACGAGCGAAAAAAGACCGTGATGAGCGGAAAACCCTTCCTACTACCAACTTCCTGCCGCTATTAGCCGCTTGCCACCCATCGCTTCACCTGCCCTCGGCTCACATGCTCCTTTGGGATAGCGATATGGGGCTTATATACCCCCGGTGCCCCGCAATATAGACTCGATTGGAGCCAGAGTGCCAGGGCAGGTTCTCCAGTCTTAATATCGTTTCCCACGCGGTGATAAAGGTCACTTCCTCCGGCATAGGCAGCATCAGCCTAGAACAATAACAAGCTTGCAAATGGTAGGCCAACGGGAATTGCCAAAGAAGGCTCACGCTTGCGGCCAATGTCGCGCACGGAAGGTCAAATGTATGCTTGCCCCCAGCTGTTTGATCGTGTTGATACCTGATCCCGAGGCTCACATGATTGAAAAATCCCAGGCGACGGAGGAACCCCGTGTGCCAAATGTCAGGTACTCTACCCCGAGTCGCTACCAAATAGGGATTCTTCTCAAAAGTCAGTGCAGATTTCTCGAGCAGAATGTGTCTATCCCGAATCTCGACGAGGGCGACGAAGGCATGGCAGCGGCCTCGAAACTTCGCTGGAGGGTCGCATAGCTCGGATGGAGGCCATGATCGAGAACCAGAACCAGATCAGGGCCTCCCCATCGGTGTCTGACACCGCTCATCCTGGCAGTATCAGCAGCCAAAGCACCCTCGTGGCGCCAACCCTCGGACCACAACTTGGAAGCGCCAGGAACACAACAACATCCACCTGGAACGAAACCCAGCATATCAGGTCGATCGACATGGAGACCTCATTGATCGACAATCCTACACTGACGTCTTTCGTGCCAGAAAAAGTTGTGCCAACATATCAGAATCCGCCCACGTCAACCAACCCAAGTTTGGCGGAAACGGTGCAACAGTCCGCGCAACCCTTTTCAAACAGGCATATTGAGGCCAAGGAAGACTCTGACGCTACAAACATGGACAAGGAGGCCACTATTCTTGCTCCACAGGTGGTAAGTATACACAGCCCTTGGGACAATTTCCGTGCAGGCTAACGGCTCTCAAGGTGAACTGGGAACATCATGGTAATGTACCGCTTACATCCAACCCTCAAAGCCTCTATCTGATTGTCTTTTGGCACAGGTCCGGGGTCCTGGCTATCGGTCTGCTCAAGGCCCGGTCTTGACTGGGTTGCACAAAGAACTGGCGTCGCAGATTTTGAAAACAGCGCCAGAGAGCTTATAACCACGTGGACGAGGCGTTTGACATTGGATCGGAGCAAAATCGCAGGGACCCAACACCGCGAACCTGATCCCGAGACTGCCTGGAAATACTGTAATGGCAAGTGATGTCGTTGTCTATATGATCTCTCTCGTACAAAGGCTGACAAGATGGTGGAAAAGCATACTTTGAGGAATCGTTCGACGCAACTCTCGGCATTGTGTACAGACCCGAGTTTGAAAGCGCCCTTCGAGCCCACTTACGCGGAGATCTGGTGTCGGGCGATGATGCCTCCTGGTTCGCCTTGCGCAAAACCGTGTATGCCTCAGGGTGTCGAATCTACCTCTCCAAACACACGTCGATGAGTTTCACAGAGATCCAAGCTGAAGCATGGAGCTACTTTCAGAGCGCCATGTCCGTCCTCATCGAATTACTTTTCACCCCCACAGGTTTGCTCGCCGTTCGCGCCCTGATCGCAATGGTACAAAGGTCCGCACTTTTTCGCTGTTAAATACCATCTCACCATATCTGGCAGGCTTTTTTCTCAGAGGGTCTCGGCAATCCCGCTCTCGAGTACATGTTCTGTGCCGGTGCGGCGCGGGTGGCTCAAGCAAAAGGATTGCATCGGCGACCGGCCAAAGCGTGGAACTTGGCTGCCCATGATGAACTACACTATAGTTGGCTGTTCTGGGCTATATATTGCTGCGAGAAGCATATTGCTCACCGCTCTGGACGACCGTCTGTAAGTCATGACTACCGACCACCGATTTGTTGTCAAGTACTAACTAGTATCTTGTCCAGGCCATCGACGACGACGAGATCAGCTGTCAGATCCCGACCGAGGCATGCCCAGGAAGCACTCTTGACGTGCAGGCATTCACCTATCTTATTCGACACGCCCAAATATCCTCTCAAATTTCCAAGCGACTCATGTCGGTCAAGGCCTTTCAACAGCCGCCGAGCACTCTACTTGAAACCGTAGCAGAACTAGATCACCAGCTGCACGAATGGAGAGATTCTCTCCCGCCAGGACTGAGACCGGATGACCGCCTGCGGTCCTTTCAGGTCCCCCACGACGCCAGGTATCTCCCTACGGTCCTTATGCATTGCGCTTACTACGGGAGCTTGATGGCCATACACACCATCTTTGCCTATCCGTGGGTGTACAGCACCATCTTCGGGAACGGGAGGGCTGTCGTCACTCAAGACCAACTGATCTTCAGCTCGAACACGGTTGCAGAAGCCGCGAGGAATATCATCATCATCGCGAGAAGCCTGGAGATCAACGGTGCCTCGATCCAATGGTGCGTGTGACCGAGCAGAACGACAAACTCGTCAGTCTAACAGAACACAGGCCAACCTTCTACTATCCCATGATCGGGCTGATCAATCTCTTCATCCACATTCTCAAGTTTCCGACGCTGCCCTCGGCGCGGTCTGACGTGGCCCTCCTCGACGTGGCGGCCGGCTACTTTGGACACATGGAGTTTGTGACGTCTTCGGAGCTCAACTTTCCATTCGCTCGAGACGTCGCCACCGTCGCTCGGCAGACTGTCACCAAGGCGTTGAAGACCGATGTCCCCGCGAGCACGGGCGCCGACGACGGCTTCAGTCTCGCCAACGACGTGGACATTCCGTTTGGGGTAAGTCGATGGCCTGTGTCCATGCGCAACAATCTTATTTTTTTTTGCCTTTAGCTCTACTGACAAAAACCCCTCAAAGGACATCTTCTGCGTGAGCCAGGACTTCAACCTCGACGACTGGAGCGTGTTCTCGTCCGTCTTCTCTGACGAGGCACTGATGAATCGAGAGATCGCTTTCTAGTGGGAGCGGGAGGGGATGGGACTAGCGAACAAGGACGAAAGGTTATGTTGGCGTGTCGAATCAGAATCTGAAGCCTTTTGGCACCAAAGCATTGTCTTTGACTCCATCTACCATGAATCCACCGTCCCCGAACTCTCCCCACATTTCTTCAGAATGAGGGATTGCTTCGGCGTTCGGCGACTTGGCGGCCTCTTATCCCGTCCTCGCTCTTCAGCTTCTGAAGACTGGAACGGAAGCCAGTGTTTCCCGGACACATCCACCACTGGCCGGGGTAAAACTGGTAAGAGTGGATAGCATGTCTGGGGGTCTCCCATACTAGACGCCAGATGCATAACCTGGCAACAAATCAGTCGTCGGCCCTTCGGAACTGTAACTCCTCCCGCTGCGCTGGGCGTGTCTCCTCCCTTGAAGCCGGTCGCGAGGTCGCTTGAGAGAACCTTTGCGGGGGACTCTGGAGTCTCCTCAGACTCCCCGGGCTGTTGCCAACATGGCTGCATGGGTATGGTACTGTTGTTGTATTCCTGGGATGACGTGGCACACCGACTCGTCTCACCTTGAACGTCCATCGTCCACGTTGTTCTTCTCGTCGAACCTACCCCTGTGTCTTTCGCCGAAGTGATCCTGCGTCTCTATCCCACCCTCCCCTTTCTTTCTGGTAGACATTCAATCCAAAAACCCAAACCCCAAACACACTGCCCGTGGCAATCATCAAGCCCTATACATTTGTGAAAAGGAATGCCTCACCCAGCAATATCCTCGACCATATGGCCGCCCGCGCCAATCAGTCCGGCCGTCAAAGACCTGCTGGGACGATTCTTCCACCTGGCCGACCAAAAGGACGACAACGTTGGGACCGTGCTGGCTGAGGAAGTCTTTACGCCTGACGGGCGTTTCGTCACGGCCAATGGCGCTTTCGAGGGGAAGGAGCGTGAGTTTTTTCGTCACTTTTTTAGCCCTCCCTTTTGTCCAGACTGTACAGGTCACACACACACACACACACACACACCCACCTACCTAGTGTTGTTTTTTTTTTACTGAAAATTACACAAACGTCCAGAAATCGCAACCAGTCGCGCCGGCGCGTGGACCGTCGTGACGTTCCGCAAACACACCGTCGACAAGGTCTACGCCACCGGAGTGAATCCGAGTGGGGAGGGAGTCACGGACATTGTCCTCACGGGCAGACTCGAGACGCGCACCAAGGACAGCGGCTCCGTCGTCGGCACCGTCACGGACTTTGCGGCGAGAGTGGTTTTTGTAGGCGGGGGGGACGACGACAAAAGTGGTGAGAGCGCGGGGTGGAGGATCAGGGAGTATCAGGCGTGGATTGGGCGGTCGACGACTTCCTCGGGACCGAAAGCGTGAGGCATGCGGGACGGGGTGAGGACCAGGGTCGGTTGGCGATATAAAGGCAAGATATACGATATACAATATACAAAGTATTCGATTATCTCGTGGAGGACTTTGTCACTTTTTTTTGGGGGGGGGGGGGGGAAATATATTTCTCACTCAGAGGGGGGGGGGGTTTGACGTCTAGTCGTTACTCAAGCTCATGCTCCTTCATTGCTTTCCCTTCCCCTTCCTAGCCCTCCTGTCCCTCCTTAACCCCCCCCCCCCCCCCCCTCTCTCACCCTTCCTAGTCTCATAGTTAGTCCTCGTACTTTTGAAGAACCGTCCTCGCCTCATCAAACTCCCTCCGTATCGTGTCTTCATGCTGCCGCGACCTGACGCAAAACGACGCCGAGAACGGATTCGGCCCAAACACGAAGCCATCAGAGTATCCCGTCTCGACGTTCGCGTCTGGCGGCGCCGCCCCCGCGGCCGGGTCGGCTTTGATGTCGAACGCCCAGGCCATCTTGGACATGTTGATCATCTGTATAACAAAAAAAAGGAAAAAAATGGGGTGTGTTAGTTAGAGGTAGGTATTGGTACTGGTACTGGTTTCGGTACGGTGTGGAAAAAGAAAGGGGACGTGTATGCGGATATGTGGGTATGTGGCCTTTGTCTCTCTGGACGGATGGATGGATATGTACGTGTGTGTGTGTGTGTGTGTGTGTGTGTGTGTGTGTGTCTGGAAATGAAAACTCACCAGAGAATTCTCAGCGAGCCGCTGACCGGGACAGACGCGCCTCCCGGCTCCAAAGCTATAAGTCACCCGTCGGCGATTCTCGTCGTCGTCGTCGACATCGTTGTTATTGTCGTCATCATCGCGCAAAGCCTGGGTGTTGCTCTTGTTCTTACTACCAAACTTGTCGTCGAGGAACCTCTCGGGAATGAACTCCTCGGGTCTGTCGTACTCCGACACGTCCTGGTGGATGGACCAGGTGTTGGCAAACACGATGGTGCCTTTGGGGAGGACGTAGCCGTCGTAGACGTCGTCTTGGATCAGCATGTGGGGGACGCCGTTGGGGGCGACTGGTCGCCATCGTAGTGTCTATCACAGTATTTCAGTCTCTCTCTCTCTCTCTCTTTTGAACACGAAACCTTTGTCACAGCAAGCACACGCGTGTGTATCTCTCCACACTCACCTCTGTCATCACTGCTTGCATGTAGGGAAGGTTCCTGATATCATGGGAGCTAGGAGACCTCGAGGCCCCGCACACTTGGTCTAGCTCTGCCTGTGCCCGTTTCAGGACTTCGGGGTACATGATCATGGCGAGCACGAACGAGTGGAGGGTCGAAGATGTTGTGTCGGATCCTGCTTCCATCTACCCAACCAGCCAGAGATGTTAGTAATGTCTGACCCGAACCTCAAACACAGCCCCGCGCGCGCGCGCGAGAGAGAGAGAGAGATACCAAAATCCCCCCCGTGTATACAATTTGTTCGTCGTCGAGCCCGCTCTTCTCCTTCCCCTCCAGCAGCTTGTCCATGAAGCAAGGAATCCTGTCCTGCCTTCGACCCCGTGCCACCGTCTCATTGAGCAAGTTGGAATACAGCGTCCGCTGCTCCTGTCGAATCCGCGCCGCCCAGCGTTTCCAAGGGGCCAAGAACGCCGGGATATATTTGAAAAGAGGAAACGCATCCACGGGCGGTGTGGCTCCCGGCGCGAGGATCGTGGTGAACTGCTCCTGCGCGTGGTACAGGGCTTGGACTTTCGGGGCCTCGTAGCTCGCGCCTCTCTGGCCAAACACGGACGCGAGGATGACGGCCGTCGAGTACCGGCGGATGTGCGTGAAACACTTTTGCGGCGTCGTCATCAGCTCGAACAGCGTCTGCGCCGCTTCGGCTTCCTGCACGGGCAACAGGCGGTCCACGGCCGTCACGTTCAACATGGCCTGGACGGCTTTCCGGAGGGCCCTCCACCCCGGACCATAGGGGACCAGGAGGATGTGCGTTTCGTTGGGGCAGAGGAGTTGATTGCCCACATAGCTGTCTGGACGACTCGAGTAGAGAGCTCCGCGCTTGTCAAAGAGTCTGTAAAAAAAAAAATTGGCCGTCAACACATGGCTGCGTCCTCAGGTCCCAAACTTACTCTTTCACACTCTTGTAGTTGTTCAATACCACGACGTTCTGAGGACCCAGCTTGAGACCCACCACAGGGCCGTACAATTTGCTCCACTCATGAAATCTGGACAAATTAGACTTTTGTGCTGATAGCCCCCCCCGGGGGCCGGGGGAATCAAACTCACTTGATGAAAGGCTTTGTGAGAGGAAGCTGGTGTAGATTGCCAATGACTGGCAGTGTTGGCGGCCCTGGGGGAAACCCTCGAGGTCGACGACTGGCGGCAGCATATCGAGCGAGGACAAGAACAAACACCGCGGCGGATGCCAGAGCCAGCTTGCTGGCAAGTGAAATCAATGTCTCATTCATGACTGTTGGGCCTGGGATTAGCAGGTCTCTCTAGCACAGTCTCGCTCTTGGATTGTCTGTAGCGGTATCACTATATGATGCTTATCTTTTGTTACTTACACCACTCCCCGTGTCGCTGAAGCAATACCGTCTCGGCCATTCGGTCATCGATGGCTCCATGGAACTCCCCGTTTCGGGTTCTTGGCTGTGGGGAAGAGATCCACAGTGATAGACGAGGACGAGGTCCTAGCGGAGGTTCCCGCCTCCGTGCCGAACGTGTTAAGCGAATACTTGTGAGCATTCGGGTGGTAGGCGTCATGTTAAATGGTCTGGGCAAGGTGCTCTTTTTATGAGGCAGACTCGTTGGTAACGCGACAGTTGCTTCGACACGACGCAGAATGGCTGGAGACTTGGACTTCCCCGTCATCATCGTTGGAGGTGGAGGATGTGGTTTGTCCATGTCGTCGTTCCTCTCTGACTATGGGATCGAGCACATCCTTTTTGACCGCAAGGTCGTGGCCTCGGCTCTGCCAAAGGCACATTATCTCAACCAGAGAACCATGGAGACGTTCAGGTTGCACGACATGCACAAAGAAATCCGCAAGAGAAGCTGTCCTCCCCACCTAATGAGCCAGGTTGCGTGGGCCACCTCACTCGGTGGCAACGGACCTCTGGACAGAAAAGTGATTCACCAGTTTCCTTGCTTTGGTGGCGATGACGGCGATCTCAAAGCCCAGGCATACAAAAGAGATAGCGCCGAGGGATCGGGCAATCTTCCACTCTGCAGAATGGAGCCAATCTTGCGGCAATTGGCTGAGGAAAGAAACCCTGGACGTATCCGTTTCGGCCACACCGTCGTCGACTTTCACGACAACGGTGATATCGTTGAAGTCACTGTCCAAGATGCCACTGGAAACCTCTCCACTTATCGAACGCGATATCTCATCGGCGCAGACGGTGGACGTTTTGTCGGGCAAAAGATTGGTGTCACTATGCAAGGCCCGACCGGAATCACGGACATGGTCTCAGTTCACTTTGGAGCAGACCTTTCCCAGTACTGGGACGAAACATTCTTCGCCTGCCACTTTATCAACGGCGAATGCGGGACCATCTTTGAGAGCGGTGCTATAGTCCCCATGGGCCCGAACTGGGGCCGGCAATCGGAAGAGTGGGTGATGCATTTTGGCTTCGCACTCGACGACGAAGCGAGACACCAGGAGGAAAAACTGGTCCCTCGAATCCGCGACCTCCTCAAGATTCCCGATCTCGACATCAAAGTCCACAGAATCAGTCATTGGATCATCGAGAGCGTGGTCGCAGACAAGTATCGCGTGGGCCGCGTTTTCGTTGCCGGCGACGCCGCTCATCGACGCCCTCCAACCACGGGACTAGGCCTGAACACAGCGATAGAAGACGCACTCAATCTATCTTGGAAGCTGGCCATGGTCCTCAAGCACAATGTGGACACCAAGATCCTCGACACTTATGAGCCGGAACGACGACCAGTGGGCAGAAGGAACGCTGATTGGGGCTTGTTCACGTTTGAAAACTCGGCGGTGATTAACGCGGCAATTGGCCTGGTGGCTGGACAGAAGGAGAAAAACCTATCCAGATTCCAGGCCATGTTCGAGGACTCCTTGACCGGACGAAGCATCCAAGCACAGGTGAAGAAAATGATTGAATCTCAAAGCATCGAATTTGGGGCACACGGGATCGAGCTTGGGTTCACGTACGAGCATGGCCTCAAGATCGCAGACGGCACCACAGCTCCAGAGGTAGATCCTCTCGGCCAGAGATATTTTCCGACGACTCGACCAGGGCACCGCCTCCCTCACGCATGGTTGGTTTTGGACGACCGTGTCATCTCCACACAGGATCTGGTAGGGCCCAAAGGATCGTTTCTGCTTCTGGCCGATGACAACGGACTCGTGTGGACAGCAGCTGCAAAGCGATTGGTGCTTCGGTACAAGATTCCTATCCAGACAGCCCGGATTGGCGAGTCTCTGAGGGACATAACAGACCAGTGGCAGCGGGTGAAGCAGCTCGAGGACGGGGGTGCGATTTTGGTCCGACCAGATAATTTCGTTGCCTGGCGGTCGCGAGGCCCGTCCAAGGCTAATGGTCAGGAGCTGGAGGATGCGTTTGCTGTGCTGCTAGGTCTGCCGCAGTTCGTTGTTGAGGAGTCGATATAGCAGCCAGTCAGTAGGGCGATTACACTGTGGTGGGAGTCGGAAATAGCTAGCATAGTGCCAAGACACTAGTTAACTGACTAACCCCATCGGGAATTTAACAGGGTATCTTTAACGACGGCGAATGGACTGCAAATTGAAACACATAAGAAACTTCATCTATATGTCAACCTCAAGTCATGGATGCGCGCGCACCCTGATGATCAACATCCATAACTTGATTCTTCTGGGGACGATCATGTGGCACGACTAACCAAGGGATGTCGTATCGTATTCCCCTCTCGCCATCGGCATTCGGGGAACTCGATGTCTCGTCACCGAAATTGTCCCTTGACTTACCTAGGTGATGAACTCTTGACCGTCTCGTACATCTCGTACGAAGCATCATGAGTTCAGCATTGTCCGTTCCCTGAAAGCGAGTGGCGACAGTTTGTTGTACGACGTTATCGACATAAAAAGAAGGGGGGGTTGAATAGTCGTCTCAAGACCACTTGCAACCCTTTACCCAACTCTCAGCATATTCCCTCTACCTCTATCGCACCCATCCTCAGGGCTTACTTGTAGAATCGCTATATCGAAATCATGACATCCACGCAGCACAACGGTGTCAACGGCCACTCCCAGAACGGCGCACCACCGAAAATCAAAGTCAAGTCGCCCATTTCTCTGGCCCACGTCGTGCTCCGCACGTCCAACTACGAGCCCATGGTGCAGTTCTGGCAGGCGTTCCTGGGTGCCGAGATCTCCTTCAAGGACGACCAGCTGGCCTTCCTCCGCTACGACGCCGAGCACCACCGCATCGCCATCATCAACGTGCCCGGCACGGGGCCCAAGGTGCCCACCTCGGCGGGCCTGGAGCACATCGCCTTCACGTTCGAGACGCTCGACGACCTGACCGAGTCGTACCGGCAGCGCAAGGCCCTGGGCATGACACCGTGCTGGTGCACCAACCACGGGCCCACCACCAGCATTTACTACCGAGACCCCGACGGCAACCGCATCGAAACCCAGGTGGACAACTTCGACACGGTGGACGAGGCGAACGCCTTCATGGCGGGGCCGCTGTACAGAGAGAACCCCATCGGCACCGACTTTGACCCGGAGGATCTGATCAAGCGGCTCAAGGCGGGAGAGGACCACAGGAGTATCAAAACCAGGATTGAAATCGGGAAGAGGGGCTTGCCGGAGGACTTTTGAAGGGACAAAGTCTTGAGGATAATGATCTACACTCCAATTCTCTTTTGGTACATTCCATATACTCAATGTCCCACCTAAATCTCTGACAGACCTTCTTGATTTCGCCAGTAGATGGGGAGCCAGTAGTTGAGAGGGACCAGGAATTGTCAATGCTCACGTAGAGGCAGGGTCGACCACAAAGCCGACTTAAACTGCAGATCTCTCGCGTACTCAGCTCACACACACACACACACACACACACACACACACACACACACGCATTTCCACACATACGTCCCAACACAGTCCCCCACAAGACAAGACAAGACTGTTCCATCCACATCATCGTCGATTGTGCGGAACGAGAACAATCAGCCGCAGAAGCAACACGTCTCGGTGTTCGGCTTCTTGGCAGTCCTGGTCCCACTTGTGGGGAGACTAGCTGTGCACGTGCACATCTGGGGTAAAAAACAACCAAACCAGGGTTGGAAGCTCCGGCGCAAGGGGTAGAGTCCAACCGCTTCCTTTCTGATTCCTTTTCTCTGTTCTCTCTTTGGTAAGAACGTAGTTGAATTGACGTCCTTTCCCCAGAATTACGAGTTCGAGTTTCAACCCGAGCCAAGACTCCGGGTGGCGGCGGCGGCGGCGGCCCAGAAAAGTGATTCGTCCCAGAAGGGTCGACAGGACCGACCTCACCCCATGGGCCATGGCCCGAATGGTTTCTCAACGGACCAAAGCTGGTCAAACCACCTGATGGTCACCATCCACTACACAGAGCGAGGATCGTCTACCATTGCAGAATCTACGCCAAAGGTTTGTCTAGGAGGTCAACAAAGCGGCGTCTCTCCGCTCCCCCCCCCCCCCCCCACATTCCTTCCCCCATATTCCCCCGGTGTCCGAGTCCCGACTCGAGACTCGACGATGTGCACAGAGCGCGGATGAGCAGTGCATATAAAAATGTCTCGTGTGTATATGGGAGGACTGTTAATACCAGGATGAGTCTTGACCGCCATCCTTTGAAAATCCACATCCCCTTTGACTTTCCCTGCCCGCCCGCCCGCCGGCATCATTTGAAGAGGCTTGTTATGTGTGTCCCCCCTCTCTCCTTGCCATCATGATCTTGACAAATCTTGGCAACTTGGGCCATAATGCCCCTGCGTGGGCGATTGTCCTACTCCTCCTGTTTCTCTGGCTCGGTGGCCTTTTCGTCCAGTCGTACAGGTCACGCCGACGCCGTCTCCCCCTCCCTCCGGGGCCCCCACGCCTCCCGATCATCGGCAACCTGCACCAGGCGCCGCAGGTGTACCCGTGGCGGGTGTACCAGGAATGGACGCGGCAGTACGGCCCCGTGTTCAGCCTGCAGTACGGCATGAACACGGTCATCATGCTGGGCACGTACCAGGCGGCGCACGAGCTGCTGAACAAGCGCAGCCACATCTACAGCTCGCGGCCCCGGGCCGTCATGGGCGGCGAGTGTCTCAGCCGCGGGCTGCGCACGCTGCTCATGCCCTACGGCCAGCAGTGGCGCAACCACCAGCGCCTGCAGGCCTCGTACCTCAACGTCCGCGTCTCCCAGAGCTACCGCGGCGTGCAGGACCTCGAGAGCAAGCAGCTCCTCTACGAGTTCCTGTCGCCCGGCGTCGACTTTGTCGACCGCTACCACCGCTACTCGTCGAGCGTCATCTTCGCGCTGGCGTACGGTCGCCGCCTGCCCAAGGGCGACGAGCCCGAGATCCAGGCCATCGACGAGGTCATGAAGAACTTTCTCTACGCCGCCCGCGTCGGCACCTGGCTGGTCGACGCGGTCCCCATCCTAAACTACCTACCGAAATTCCTCGCGCCGTGGAGACGCCTCGGTGACCGGCTCCACAAGCTCGAGTCGACCCTCTGCATCGACAACATGACCAAGGGCCTCGACTCGGCGTCGTGGAACTGGTCCAAGCACGTGTCGGGCATGAAAGAGGGCCGCGACATGTCGACCAAGGAGCTCGCGTACGACGTGGGCATCATCTACGAGGCCGGCAGCGACACGACGTCGATGGCGCTCGAGATCTTCACGTTGGCCATGCTCGTGTACCCGGACGTGATGAAGAAGGCGCAGGCCGAGATCGACGCGCACGTCGGCGGCGACGACCGGCTGCCCGGGTTCGAGGACAAGGACTCGCTGCCGTACATGGACGCCATGATCAAGGAGGTGCTGCGGTGGCGGCCCGTCAGCGCGGGCGGCATCCCCCACGCCGTCATCCAGGACGACGAGTATCTCGGCTACCGCATCCCCGCGGGCGCGACCGTCATCGGGAACCACTGGTCGATCCACCTCGACGAGGACGTCTACCGGGACCCGCACGCCTTCAACCCGGACCGCTGGATCGAGGACCCGGCCCTCCCGCTCGCCCCCTTCGGCTTCGGCCGCCGCGTCTGCACCGGCCAGCACCTCGCCCGCAACAGCCTCTTCATCAACATGGTCCGCATCCTCTGGGCCTTTGACGTCGTCCACGCGCACGAGTCCGTCCCCGAGATAGACCCCCACACCGGCCGCACCGTCCTCGTCCGGCGCAGATGCGAAGTCGACCCCCTCGCCTTCACGCAGGGCCTCAACTCAAAGCCCTTGCCGTTCAGGGCCGAGTTCAAAGTCAGATCGCCCGAGAGGGCGCGCATTGTCCAGGATCAGTGGGACAAGGCGGAGAAGAGGCTTGATGTCCTGCTGGAGCGCATCCGCGCTGATGTCGGTGGGAGTGGGAAATGAAGTGGCGAGAACGACAGCCTTGACGATCTATATCGACTAGGAATTTCTGATGGTGTTTGATCGAGAAAGTCGCGAGATATTCAATGCAGTAGAAATTTGTCGTCTCGGTAAATAAACTACTCCGTTGATTCAAGAAGCCTACACGGAGGTAGTGTCTGTTGTATGCCTCTTGTATTCACACGTATCGCTCTTTGTGGGATTTATGTCGCGTTCCAATCCTCTATACCTCCAAGACTATTTACGCCACAAAGACGGCACGGAATTACCAGTATGCTATCAGTTTCAAAGATGAGCCTTTGCAGGCCCAACTTCCCAATCCCCCAAGAACCGCACATTGACCTTTCTTCCTCGGAGACCCTTGACAGCCACCTTGACCTCCTGTCCGGGCAGTAGATCGAACATGTTGTCTTCCCACAGTGGTTCAGGCTCGTCCGCCTTTTCAGTTCCATCGTACACGGGCTCCAGCCAACAGCCCTTGATTGGCTGATTGGCACTGACTGTCACCACATCCTCAAAGTGTGTGTCGTTGACGTCGGTATGGGCGTGATCATCTTGGATGCTCTGAACGGAAGTGGCCACTTTGGTGTCGACGGGCCACTGCAAGTACCGATACGGTTCGGGCCAGTCAGTGAATCTTGCCAGCACCTTCTTCGTCGACGGGTCCACAAGGCTCGCGTCCAGGATGATCAGACTTTCCTCGGTCCAGGACGCATGTGGCTTCAGACTCCCAAGCTCGGTATTGTGACTGGCTGACAAGGTCACCTCCGAGCTCACGCCGGTCCAGTCCAACTCAACCTCCTCTCCGGCATGAAGATCGTACGCCCTCAGTTCCAGAGAGCATTTTACCTCGACTGGCGTGGTATTATGTGCAAAGAGAGCAAAGTTGGGGATGTACGAATCCTTTGGTTTGTCTTCGTCGATCCAGCGAGAGCGAGGTGTGCGTTCAATCCCAACGCTGACGGGGGCAAAGTTGCGTCGGATCGTATAAAAGGCAGGTTTCGGACGGAGATAATAGTCAATATATGCCCAGCTTGTGACCGGGTAGACATCATTCAGCTGCCAAATGATTGCACCGGCGCACTCCTCTTTACCTTTGCCCCCAAACTTCCGCTTCCAGTCACGCAACGCGTAGCCGTATGCTTCGCTCTGTAAAAGCTGTGAGCAGTATACGAAGTTTTCGAGTTTCATATCGTATCGGAAGTTCTCTGACAAGTATCGCGCGATACGTGTCTCCGCGCCGTGGCCTTTGTTGTGACAATCGATGACGCGGGACTGGGGATGACGGTCCTTCGGATTAGGCGCAAAAACATCGACCGTGCGCATGATAGGGAAACCGTGCATCCCGAATTCAGAGACAAACCGACCATGCAGCTCTCCATATTTCTGATAAGAGTGCTGCGGCCCATGCCATACAGCCCACTGGTGAAGATCACCGAATGTGGTGTCGCTTGCATTTGCTCCCTCCTCGCCCCAGGGTGATGACGGCCAGTATTTGATCGACGGACACAGGCTCTCGCAGACTTTGGGGAGAAGGTCGAGGTAGATCTTACGAGCCGGAAAACTGCTATCTTCAAAGGGTCCTTTGTGGTCGGCAAAGTCGTACGGCTCGCCAAAAAAGTCCTGGATCCCAAAATCCTCGTTGTTGCCACATAAAAGGGCTAGCGAGGCGCGGTTGCGCATTCGAATAGTCTGTGCTTCGGCCTCGGTCTTGACGCTGTCCAAAAATTCCTTGTAGACGGGATAATCACCACAAGCAAATGCGTAATCGTGCCAGACCAGCATGCCCATTTCGTCACAGGCATCAAAAAAGTCTTCGGTCTCGTAAATCCCCCCTCCCCAAACCCGGATCATGTTCAGATGGTGGTACTTCGACAGTCGAACCCAGTCAAAGTATCTTTCGCGGGTCATAGTAGGCAATAGATTGTCTCCGGGGATCCAGTTGCCTCCCTGGGAGAAGATATCGCGGCCATTGACGTTGAAGAGGAATGTCTTGCCTGGCGCGTTATCAAGGGGGCGTTGAATCACTTTGATAGTCCGGATGCCGTATCGAATCGTTCTCGTATCGAGCTTGCTCGACGATTCATCTAGAAGAAATGCCGAAACACTGTATAAATGCTGTGCCCCTTGCCCGTTAGGCCACCACAGCCTGGGTTCTGGTATGATGACCGTGGCGACACCCTTTTTCGACTCGTCCAAGGAGATGTCGAGCCCCTGAGATGCTTGTAAAGAGGCTTGATCGAGAATGTTGACTTTTACAAACTTGGCAGAAGGTCCA